GAGAGAGAGAGACAGAGAGAGAAAGGTCTTCCTTTGCCGTTGGTTCACCCTCCAATGGCCGCCGCATCGCGCTGATCCGATGGCAGGAGCCAGGAGCCAGGTGCTTCTCCTGGTCTCCCATGGGGTGCAGGGCCCAAGCACCTGGGCCATCCTCCACTGCACTCCCTGGCCACAGCAGAGGGCTGGCCTGGAAGAGGGGCAACCGGGACAGAATCCGGCGCCCCGACCGGAACTAGAACCCTGTGTGCCAGCGCCGCTAGGCGGAGGATTAGCCTAGTGAGCCGCGGCGCCGGCCTGAAGTTTTTTTCTAAACAGAAAGTAACAGCGTGCCTGTCTGTAGCATCTAATCTGATAAGGTATGTTTAGGGGATATCAATAGCATGTACTTATATTCTGTAGCAAAAGTATGTCCTCTGGCCTGTGTCTTTAAAAACTAGAGTATCTATGTTTGGCTGCTGACGGTTTCGAGTACTTGAGGGAAGAATTCAAACTGTCCCTGATTTGCACATATAAACATACATGCCTAGAAAATTTCTGGTTTCTCTCTCTTTCTTTCTCTCTCTTTCTTTCTCTCTCTTTCTCTCTCTCTCTCTCTCTCTCTCTTTCTCTCTCTCTCTTTCTCTTTCTTTTTCTCTCTCTTTCTCTTTCTTTTTCTTTCTCTCTCTCTTTCTCTTTCTCTCTCTTTCTCTTTCTCTCTCTCTCTTTCTTTCTCTCTCTCTCTTTCTCCCTTCCTTCCTTCCTTCCTTCCTTCCTTCCTTCCTTCCTTCCTTCCTTCCTTCCTTCCTTTCTTTCTTTCCTTCTTTCTTTCTCTCTTTCTCTCTTTCTCTCTTTCTCTTTCTCTCTCTCTTTCTCTCTTTCTTTCTCTCCTTTCTTTCTGTCTTTCTCTCTTTCTCTCTCCCTTCCTTCCCTTCCTTCCCTTCCTTCCCTTCCTTCCCTTCCTTCCCTTTCTTCTCTTCTCTTCTCTTCTCTTCTCTTCTCTTCTCTTCTCTTCTCTTCTCTTCTCTTCTCTTCTCTTCTCTTCTCTTCTCTTCTCTTCTCTTCTCTTCTCTTCTCTTTCTTAAAAGCAAGATTTATTAGAGTTGAAGACCCTTCAGCCTGAGGCATGGAGGGGGTCTCCAAGAGAGGCAAAACCCGAGGCCGGCGCCACGGCTCACTAGGCTAATCCTCTGCCTGCGGCACCGGCACACCGGGTTCTAGTCCCGGTCGGGGCGCCGGATTCTGTCCCGGTTGCCCCTCTTCCAGGCCAGCCCTCTGCTGTGGCCAGGGAGTGCAGTGGAGGATGGCCCAGGTGCTTGGGCCCTGCACCCCATGGGAAACCAGGATAAGTACCTGGCTCCTGGCCTCAGATCAGCACAGTGTGCTGCAGCGCACTGGCCGCGGCGGCCATTGGAGGGTGAACCAACGGCAAAGGAAGACCTTTCTCTCTCTGTCTCTCTCTCTCACTGTCCACTCTGCCTGTGGTACTGGGGTTTTTAAGCACAATTTTGGGGAAGAAAAGATCTTGACATTCAGTTACAAGGTAGGGACAAAAACCATCAAAAGACCTGATTTACAATGTTTTATCCTATCCAGCTTGCTCATGATAAAACAAAAAGAGCCACCAGAAGGATGGGATACCTATTTACCTATTGTAAAATTACTTTACAATAAACTGGGAGCTCAGGAGGCATGGCCACTCCCTTGCTATTCTCCTAAGATTGGAAGCTTTCAAGGAGTGGGCAGGCAGGCAATTTTGATCTTGCTAAAGATACTGCTTCCTCAGTTTCCACTGGAACCACCCTGACTGCCTATTAACTCATCTGACTCTTCACATTCCCACCCAGAAGAATGGATCCTAACTTCTTTTTTTTTTTTTTTTTAATTTTTATTTATTCATTTGAAAGGCAGAGTTACAGAGAGGTAGATAGGTAGAGAGAGAGAGAGAGAGAGAGAGAGAGAGAGAGAGAGAGATCCTCCATCTGCTGGTTCACTGGTTCACTTCCCTAATGGCTGCATTGGCCAGAGTTGGGCCAATCTGAAGCCAGGAACCAAGAGCTTCTTCCAGGTCTCCAACATGCGTGCAGGGGCCCAAACACCTGGGCTATCTTCAGTGCTTTTCCAGGCCATAGCAGAGAGCTGGATCAGAAGTGGAGCAGCCAGGTCTTGAACCAGTGCCCATATGGGATGCTGGCACTGCAGGCTGAGATTTAATCTAGTACATCATGGTGCCGGGTCCTGGACCCTAACTTCTGTTTGGGGAACTGGGCAATGACTGCTGTGGCTGCTTCATGAGGAAAAGGGGCATTGTTGGGAATGGCAGTTAAGACAGGGTTCCAGCAGGAGGTAGCTTCTCAGCAGGAGGTGGCTTTTTGTGGAAATACAGTGCCAGCTTGCAGAAGCTGCTTCTCTCTGAGGTTTCATGTGCATGGCCATCTAGAATTTCACTGTTTCAAGTCAGGAGAAAATGAATCTACAAGCAGATTCAACTCACAGGGTCTAAAACAAAGGACAGAGTCATTATTAGAGGACCTAAGAAAGGTGCTATCTAAACCACAAACAAGTTTTCTCATTGAGAGTCAAATAGAAACTGACCTTAGAGGCCTGATAATAATCAGGTGGGATTTAAGGCCTGGCCAAGTATGAGGCCCAGACTTATCTATCTGTTCACATGGAGTGCCAGAAGAGACACCGTAAAGGAGTTGTGAACCTCCCTAGGGATAGCACCCTGTTGACTTCCATTACCTAGCTGACCTGGAAGGAGAGATGCCCTGAATAGAAAGTAGGTGGCATCTTTAAAAGGAAATTTACAGTTCTGCCTGTAATGGTACTTGACCCTCCTTGCCCATCCCTTCAACAGTGGTGGTTACTTTGGAAGCTGGACCAAGTGAAGGCCTTTTTTCAGCTTAGAGCCAGCAGGGTCTGTGGCTCTGACCCAAGAATCCTTCAACTCCTGGAGCAGTTCCATTTCCATTGACCCAACTCTTGCCTAGCAGAGCTGCCAGGGCTCTCCAAAAGCTGACTTCTGTGTCCATCTGAATGACTGGCTTTCCACATTGAAAACTAATGCCATTTGTGGTGCACAGGCCTATTGGGTCTCCCTGATGGCAGATTACTATGTAAAGCAGCTTAAAGGAGGCAGCCTTTAAGAGCATGCAAATTTAGGGGGTGATAAGTCTTATTTCTAATCTAATCTACTCTAGGAATCTACAGTCACAGACATGTTCTTATAGTGGTTTTTCTTTGAGGTAGACAATGCCCATGAGGTTTCTTGAGAATTATATAGTGCTTTTTTTTTTTTTTTTTTTTTTTTTAACTTTTATTTAATGAATATACGTTTCCAAAGTACGAATAATGGATTACTATGGCTTCCCCCCCATACCGTCCCTCCCACCCACAACCCTCCCCTTTCCCACTCCCTCTCCCCTTCCATTCACATCAAGATTCATTTTCGATTATCTTAATATACAGAAGATCAGCTTAGTATACATTAAGTAAGGATTTCAACAGTTTGCTCCCACACAGAAACATAAAGTGAAAAATAATAGATGATTTTTTTTAATGATGATGAAATCAGATCAGACCTATTGTCATGTTTAATCCCAGTGAGAGTCAAGTTGGGAGTTGATAGTTTCTATTCTTTTCTTTTTTTTTTTTTTTTTTTTTACAGAGGATCAGTTTAGTATGCATTAAGTAAAGATTTCAACAGTTTGCACCCCCATAGAAACACAAAGTGAAATATATTATTTGAGTACTCGTTATAGCATTAAATCTCAATGCACAGCACATTAATGACAGAGATCCTACATGATCCTACATGCCAAGACACTCTGGCAAAAGATCTCTGTGAGTGAGATCTCAGTGAAAAGAACAGGTCTTCAAAGAAGGAGGTACCTTTCTCTGAAGGGAGGAGAGAACCTCCACTTTGACTATGACCTTGTCTAAACAAGATAAGAGTCGGAGAACTCAAGGGGCTTCCATAGCCTTGGAAACTCATGACTGGAGCATAGGGAGATTACTGATGCCATAGACAGGAGTGTCAATTGGTATATAGTGCTTTTGTAATGAGGCAGTGTCTTTAGCTTTTCACCGAAGTGCCCTTCATACATCCTGGAACGTATTCAGCAACTCATGTATAGTTTCTTCTGTAGCAGGATCAGCAAGTGATAACTGCAGGCAAACTAATGAGAGCCTAGTTAAATTAGATCAAAATGACTGCGGTAAATTTGTGAAAATTTTTAGAAGCATCAGTCAGAAGGATATCCTTTGGCATTTCTTTATTGTATGGCTGCGGGCAGCAGTCTCTCAGCTTTACTGTGTCTGAAAACAACCAGAGGAAGAAAGTACATACATAACAACATTCATGAACAAATGGTGGCAGGCTTCCTAGTAGAAACAAATGACACAGTAGCAGACAGGCCACAAAATTATTCATTCTTACAAAGAAATTAAAGAGTTATAGATTTCTCTAACTGCTACGTGAATGATTAATTGTAAAGAGAATATTGTTTAAACTTTTGAAGTAACAAAGCGTAAATTGGAGAATAAATGATATATTAGTAAAAATGTACATGGGATAGATTGACTATTGCTGTTGCTAATAAAAATGGTATCTTGGAGGTTTGTGGAATGAATCATGAATCTTTAGGTACTGACCACATTGTTTATTAACTTTGTTTAGCAAGTACTTGATAGTAGAGATACTTAGTTATAGAAAAAAAAATCACAATTTAAGAATAGTTTCTATTTATGAATGATAATTTAAAAAGTATGATTTATTTAAGACAAATATGTTAAACTATAAGAGGACTACCTGTTCACAGTTGAAAATTGAAAACCATGCTAGAGAATGTGAAAAGTAAAAGTTCCTAACTCCCTTTTCATTTCATCTCAGTCTATTAGATGTGTAAAAGAATCTATCTCATCTGACATTCTTATTCCTTCAGGTATAACTCTAGTAGCAATTTAAAAGAATTATTTTTTATGTAAAAGTCTAACTTCTTGATTTTTTTTTTGTGGTGGAGCTGTGAGTTCTTCGGAATTGTGAATATTCTTTTGAAATATGGAGCCCAGATAAATGAACTTCATTTGGCATACTGTCTGAAATATGAGAAGTTTTCAGTATTTCGCTACTTTTTGAAGAAAGGTTGCCCTGTGGCACCATGGAGCCATATATCTGAATTTATAAGTCATGCAGTTAAAGCACAAGCAAAATATAAGGAGTGGTTACCACATCTCCTGCTTGCCGGATTTGATCCACTGACTCTTCTGTGCAATTCTTGGTAAGAAGACCTATCATCATGTGCTTTACTCTTCTTTAAGGGAATGTGTTACCTTTAATTATTCCCGGTTTCTTGAGATCCATTTATTGGGAGGAAGATATGTGTATTTTACCTATATCTGGGCTGGGTTGTTTGGGGTCTGTTAGTGAAACTGAGATTAAGTACAGACTAGCAAAAGATTAAAGGAAGGGAGGGTAAAAGAGGATAGAATGCCAGTGAAGTCTTTGGAGAGGGATATTTCTACTTTAGGATATTCCTTATGCTCTTAAAATGCCTGGGGTGGAAGAAAGATTAGTTGTAGGGACTTTGGGATCTCTGTTATCCCTGATCAAACTAGATTGAATACTCCTTCCCTGCAGCATCTTCCGTCTATTGAAATGCATCATCATTAATAAGCACTGATTTCTGGTGTCTGAGATACAACTTGGGTGCTTTAGGTAGTTTTTTAGAAGCCAGCCCCGGGCAGGTGCCGCAGCTCAATAGGCTAATCCTCCGCCTAGCGGCGCTGGCACACCGGGTTCTAGTCCCAGTCGGGGGGCCGGATTCTGTCCCGGTTGCCCCTCTTACAGGCCAGCTCTCTGCTATGGCCAGAGAGTGCAGTGGAGGATGGCCCAAGTGCTTGGGCCCTGCACCCCATAGGAGACCAGGATAAGCACCTGGCTCCTGCCATAGGATCAGCGCGGTGCGCCGGCCGTGGCAGCCATTGGAGGGTGAACCAATGGCAAAGGAAGACCTCTCTCTCTCTCTCTCTCACTGTCTACTCTGCCTGTAAAAAAAAAAAAAAAAAAAAAAAAAAAAAAAAAAAAAAAAAAAAAAGCCAGCCCCCTGTGAGAGATTTATATGAAAGTTGAGTCAGAATTTTTCTTGGGCAACAAGAAGACTGTTTCTACCAGTCCACGGCCTTTGCAAAAGTTGTTAGTGTCCTGAGACAGCTAATTGTAGCAGTGAGAGGACTCTATTGGTCTGATAATGCTAGCTAAATGAGAAAACTGAATGAAAGTCTCCCTGAAAACAGAAGACTTATTATTTTATAGAATTTCAATAAAATATTTAGAAATCTTCATTTTTGCCCTTCAGAAACCATCATTCATTATAAAATAAAGTTTAGACGAATGCTGAGGTTTTGCATTTCAGCAAAAAATGGTTTGTTGTCTTGCTATGTGACTGTTTCTTCTCTAAAGAGGCCTTCATTCATTGCCTAAGGCTCCTGTTTATTAACTTGGTTTGCATTTCTAAGGATTCTAACTTCTGCCTGGTAGCTTTTCCCTTTTTATGTGAGGCACAGGTCCTTATTTGGCAGTATCCCAATATCTCACCTTTCTATTCTGTCTCCCATCACGTGGTCTTCAAGAATTTTCCCTAGGCAGAGGTTTTATGCTCTTCCTAACGCTATTTCAGTTATAGGCTTTACAATAGAAAAACTGCTTTCTGGTAAGTAGTTTGAGGAACATAAAAATAAAAGAAATTGAGATATACCTTTGATCCCACCTTACTTTTTGTTTGTAGTTTATAACTGGTTGAGTCCCTAATTGTATTTACTTTCCCCCTCAAGAGCTGAATAATAAATACCTAGCTGTCTCTTGTCAGATGTTCATTGTTGCCATTCTTTCTCTACCTTTTAAATTGTTTTGCACAAATTTATTGTCATTTTTTAGGTAGTTGAATGAAATGTATAAAGACTACTGACAGTTCATTGAGACATCTCTGATTTTTAAAATTTATTTGTATATGTATATTTTTTTGCTGTTTTTTTTTTATTTTTTTATTTGAAAGACAGAGTTACACAGAGAGGTAGAGACAGAGAGAGAGGTCTTCCATCTGATGGTTCACTCCCCAGATGGCTGCAACAGCTGGAGCTGAGCCAATCCAAAGCCAGGATCCAGGAGCTTCTTCCGAGTCTCCCACGTGGGTGCAGGGGCCCAAGCACTTGGGCCATCTTCTACAGCTTTCCCAGGCCAGAGCAGAGAGCTGGATGGGAAGAGGAGCAGCCAGAACTAGAACCGACGCCCATCTGGGATGCCGGTGCCTCAGGCCAGGGCGTTAACTCGCTTTGCCACAGCGCCCAGCCCCTGTGTATTTGTCTTAACAACCCCACTCCCTCACATGCAAATTTGTGCATATACATAGACACTGGTCAACTATGGAACACTTGCTAATGAATGCTTCAACTAGTTATTAGTAAAGTAATTTAAGTACCCTTCCCTTGTTACTGAATTTCACGAGTCTGCCTAGTCTCTGGGGAGCTAACAGCATTTGCTCTTTACCATTCCAGTAATCACTGCCTGACTACTGCTGTAAATCCCATTACATAGGGTAGCTGCCCTTTCCATCTCTCACCTATGCTACCTCTCTCCAGGGTGCCTACTTCCTTAGTCATATTCCTTGTCTTCCTCCATTAAAGCTGCTGACTGATTTCAGGTGATTTGCTCAGTACTTTTGTAATTTTTCCCCCAATTTTTATTTATCATCTTATGTGAGAAACAGAGAAAGAGATAGAGAGACAGAGATCTTTCATTCCTGGTTCAAATGCCTGCAATATCAAGGCTGGCCCAGGCCAAACCTAGGAGCCAGGAATTCAACCCAGGTGAATGAGTGGCATGAGTGGCAGAAACCCGAGCACTAGAGCCCTTACCTACTGTCTCCCATGGTGCTCATTAGCAGGAAACCTGGTTGGAACTAGAGGAGCTGCAATTTGAACACAGGTACTCTCTGATGTGGGATGTCGGTGTCCCAAGTGTCTTTTTAACTGTTGCACCAAAAGGCAATTCTACTTTCAGCATTCTTCCTTCTGTTTTCTAATATATTTATTTCTTTATTCCAAACTTAGATTACTCTCTGACACCTGGTAGTTTTTCACTGCTATTAGCTCATTTACCAAAAAGTGGAATAGTTGGTATTTTTATCCTTATTTCATACAGGAGGAAATCGAGGCACAGAGTATTTAACATACTTGCACAGTTTCACACAGCTAGTTAGCAGAGAGCTTAGATTTGAACCTAAGTTGTCCTGTAGTGTGGCTCAAGATTATTACTAACCATTATGATACACTTCTCAAGCCTGATGAGGTAGTAGTTATCACTTAATTTTAGGTACTTTAATCCCTTGCCTAAACTGGGGCATCAGTGCCAATTTTTCTTGCTCCATCCCATTCCGAAATTAAAGTTTTTCTGCAGAGAACAAAAACAAAAACTCATGCCTGTTGTCCTTTCCTTTCAGCCAACTAAACAAACCACTGATAGACATGCTTAGGTTTATTCTGTTAGTAGGCTTTGGAAAATAAGAGAGTACTTCAAAAAATTTGTGGAAAATGGAATTAAAAGATGTTTATTTGGGCACAAAAACTTTTGAAATCCATGAACAATTTTTTCATGAAATGCATTTTCTGTGAACTTTTAAAAGATTATTCATTTATTTATTTGAGAGATAAAGTGACAGAGAGAGAGAAGATGGGAGACTTACAGATAGAGATCTTCCATCTGGTGGTTTATTTCCCAAATGGCTGCAACAGCTGAGACTGGGCCTGGAACTCCATCTGAATCTCCCGTGTGGATGGCAGGGCCATCATTCATTGTTTACCTAGGTGCATTAGTGGGGAGCTGAATCAGAAGCAGAGCATCCAGAACTCAAACGGGCAGTCTCATGTGGGATGTTGTAACCACAAGCAGTGGCTTAACCCACTGTAAACAATACTGGCTTCTCATGAGCTTTTTGAAGTACCCTCATATACTCTCCTTGCCCCAGATCAGATACAGCCTCTTGACCCCTGGATGTGAAATATTGTGGTAGTAAACTACTGTGTGTATGTTGTATTCGTATTTATTGGCTTTGTTAGAATAGGAAAGAGTTAGGAACCAGCAAACAATAAATTATTTTGAAGTAAATTATGTAAGTTTCAGTTATCCAAATGGAGAATGCCAGCTGAGTATATTTTACGCATAAGGAGTAACTTTAATCACTTTACATTCGTTAGAAAAAATACATTGGAAAATTTCATTTTAGTAAAGAAAATGTTTAACATAGTCACACTTTTATTTACTAATCTTTTATTGAATGAATAAAGCCAGTGTTTACATTGAATTTGATAAATGTTTTGCTTTCTTTGATCAAATCTGCTTTCAGAGAGCTATTATGAGAAAAATTCTCCCATAAAAATTCCAATATGTTGTCAAAGTGCGTTTTTGTTGTTTCTTATTTATATCACATGTAAGTCTGCTGTTTAATCTTTGTCATGTAAATTGTAAATGTACTTCCTTGGTAATGCTTGTCTTAAAAATATATCTGACTGAATAATTGCCTGTCATAATATAATCTACAAAGCTGAAATTTTTTTTAACTTTAAATGCAAGACTGACTCTCCTGTCCCTGAACATAATGGGAGAATAATAGGAGACAAATGTCATCTGTGCATTTTGTTGATTAACTGTCACTCATTTATGATTGTACAACTTCTCTGTACAGTGTAATGGTCAATGTAATACAGTGACAATACATTTCTATTGGCATTATCAGTGTTGATAAAAATAAATTCACCATTATAATAACTACAGCTGTGCAGGCAGATTTATTTCTCATATATGTGTTCAGATAAGCACATAAAAAATGACTGTATTTGGTCACAGTGAGGCCTAAAGCATATTAATGCTGAAACATGAAACCATTCAAAAAGAAATAACAAGTAACCTTTGGTGTGGAACTCCTAGAAAGCTAAGGAGATTGTTTGCCTTTGAGTATATTTTAGCATTTCATTTATTCTCAGTATTTCCTGATAAGTTGTGATTTCCCTAAGAGCTGAGAAGTGAAATGTTTTCCCAAGGCACTTATGCTACACTTCATGTTCTTCCTTATGTGTTTATATATTGGAGAATTGATAATTTGGGAAATAATTTTTATACTCTCCACTTAGTCATTTCAAGGATACTTTGTTTCTGAATTGCCAGAAATAAGTTTTCTTTGAGATGACAAATTTACAATATTATTGTTTCTTTCCTTCTATTTTGTTTCCTTTTTCAGTTGTTGCTCAGTAATGTCCCCTCCCTCCAAAATGCAGTCTTGAGAAGAATTTATTTATTTATTTTTTTGGTAATTACCAGAGACCTTAAATTTGATTTCTCTTCAAACAGTGTGATGATAGGGAGTATCTAATTGAATATAGAATGGATAATTTTGTTAGGGTTGAGAGTTCTCTTTAAGCTTTGACTAAATCCCATATGTATAATGTCATGAGATCTTTTGAAATTATAATTCAGAAATTTTTGAATCAGTTCTAGTAATAGCAGATGTTTATATAACGCTCTATAGTTTTAAAAATGTACTTACCATATTACATTACTTTCACAAATAGTCCCCTGAAATAGGCAGTTTGTATATTACTCTCATTTTAGAGAGCCAAAATAGGGTTTACGGAAATCAGGCAACATGCTTGTAGATATTAGAAGTTAGGACTCTGTTCACTAAGTTTCCAGTACTTATAAAATTTGGGGAAAACTTTCTTGGTGAATTGGAAGAGACTGTGATATTTTTGAAAGAACAGGAAAAGAACTGTTTGTGTGGAGCCCCTTTTTTCAGTTCATTAAAACAAATTTTATTCTGGTACATTCTTTAGTGTTGAACCTACAGTGGGGAAGGTTCTTAGAGAACAGTTGCAAATCCCCGGGAGTTGGACAGAAATAAATCATGTCTCTTTTGTACTCAATTTAGGGATAACCTGAGGTGTTTGGCCCTCATACTGAAATGTGTTCGTGAGGATAGCCAGGCTGCATTTGGCAAGATGATCTAGGTGGAAGGAGTTAATGGAAAATCCACTGATGACATTGCTGCTATCTCCAGTGAGAAGGAAGGGTAGACTTCCTGCTGTCTTCACAGACTCAATCTAGTTTCCAGTGGGAAAACGCAGATAATTATTCTTATTTACTGAACTTGCCTCCAGTTACAAGAATATTCCTGTGCCCAGGCTTTTTTTTTTTTTTTTTCTTTTTGTCTGCCTTCTGCCTTCTTTATTAGGACGTAAAAATAGATATGTGGTGTTTGTTTCCAAGATGAACCCTTGGTCTTTTTTGTATCTAATAACTTGTTAATATCTTGATACTATAGGATTGACTCAGTCAACGATGACACCCTTATCTTCACTTTGGAATTTACTAATTGGAGAAGACTTCCATCAGCTGTTGAACAGATGCTCTCTGCTCGTGCCTCACATTCCTCTTGGGTTTTACAGCAACGTATTGGTAAGAAAGAACAATTTTTAAACACATAAAACTACTTTTTCTTCTTTTGCCTCTGTAACTGTGTTGTATTTTTAAGTGAGAAGATTCATTGGAGAATGTATATAAAACCTATAACATGCATTTTCTTATGTCAGGAGAGAATGGGATTATGGGGGAGAGAGATAGTAATTTACTTCAATAAAATTATATCAAAAATAGATCCTAGTAAACAATAAGATTAGGAATAAGAGAGGGAAGAGGAAGAGGGTTAGGAGTGTGGGCAGGAGGGCGGGCACGGTGGGAAGAATCACCATGTTCCGAAAGTTGTAATTAGGAAGTGTATATGAAGTTTGTAACTATAAAGCTATATAATTCTCTTTTTTTAAAAAAGATTTATATATTTACTTATTTATTTGAAAGTCAGAGTTACACAGAGAGAGGAGAGGCAGGATGGTCTTCCATCCAATGGTTCACTCCCCAGTTGGCCACAATAGCCGGAACTGCGCTAATCCGAAGCCAGGGGACAGGAGCTTCTTCCCTGTCTCCCACATGGGTACAGAGGCCTAAGGGCTTGGGCCATCTTCTACTGCTTTCCCAGGCCATAGCAGAGAGCTGGATAGGAAGTGGAGCAGCCAGGTCTCGAACTGGCGCCCATATGGGATGCCGGCGCTTCAGGCCAGGGCATTAACCCGTTGCACCACAGCACCAGCCACAAGCTATATAGTTCTGTATACATTCCTGTGGACTTACTTCCAAGGGTACAGTTTAAAAATTTACCATAAGACCCCAGATCCTCTTAAGCTGGGGTAAAAATAGCATTTTAAGTGTTAAAGTGATTATATAAGTAATAATAATAGATACTAACAGTAATAATAATAGATAGAATTAGAAAGGAGGAAATGCTCCAATGTTGGGAAGCGGTACATACAGGTGACTCATAGAATGACTATCACTTTAAGTAGCACTCTGACCTCAGAATCAGCCCTTGAGACATTCTGGTCTGTCTGAACAGCCCATGAGGGCATTCAGGTATGGAAAGCCAGGACACAGTAGCAACAAATGTCCTACATCAAGGACCTTTATGGGTGGGATCCCAGTGGAAAGAAATGGTCCTAAAAGAATGTACTTTTCTCTGAAGGAAGGAGAGAGCTTCCACTTTGCTTATGGCCTTATTGAAATATTGATGGAGTTTGTGAAAGTAATTTTTCACTGATTAAAAATATTTTTAAGTTATTTAAAAAAAATTAGAGAGCACACTGTAGGGGAAAATTTTGCACAGGAAAGCAGTTTAAACTAAACCTGAGGGATGGACATATGGTCTAGTAAAGTCACCACTTGCAGTCTATACTGGAGTTCCAGGTTTGAGTCCCAACCACTCTGCTTCTGATACAGCTTTCTGCTGATGTGTACCCTGGATGGCAGTAGGTGATACCTCAGGTACTTGGGTTCCCTGCAGCCCACATGGGAGACCAGGTGGAGTTCTGAGCTCCTGGCTTTGATTTTACCCAGTCCCAGCTATGTCAGGAATTTGGGGAGTAAACTAGTTGATGGGAGGTTTCTATTTGACTTTCGATCTTTCAAATAAAATGAAAACAAAAAAATAGAAATAAAAAAAAACCTAAACAAGGTATATGTAAAGTATTTCTGTTTGCTTAACTCAGATTTATTTTGACTATGTTTTGTTAACTAGATTATGAGTCTTAAGTTAGGAAAATTGTTTCTTCACTGCTATTTTTGCATGAAGTGTAACTCTTCATAAAACACTGAATAGGTTTTAACAAGTGAACTTATGCATATGTAGAAATGTGTCTTATAACTTCTTGGAAAAGCACATTTAAGTAAATCTCAAAAATAAACATTCAAAAAATATGCTCTTCAGCTGAGGTGTATTCAGATTGACTATCGCAGAGCTTTCTGTTGGAGCACAAAAGTAATCTGTTTGGAGTGTCTGAGCCTTCTAGTACAGAATTTCATTAATGATAATGCTGGAAAACCCACTTGCATATAATTCTTAATGTTGAGAATTACATCTGCTTTTAGTTTTACTAATTATGCATCTGCAGCAATAGAGAAGAAATATCTATTCAGAACAGATAGAATAAGGAACAATGGATTTGGGAACAAAGAGTCAAAAGAGGGAGCATATGCCAAATGGGAATATTATTGCAAAGTATCAATTAGTAAAGATATGTGAGAGTTTACTCTGAAGACCCTAACATATGGCAAGTTTGTCCAGATGAAGGTAAAAAGTGTGCATGAGTACATTACCCTACAGTAGACTAAATCCATCATGGGCTTCTTGTTTAATTAGGCACTAGGTAGAGCTGTGTAGGATCATAATCATCATCTCTTAAGAGGATTTTGTGTTGGCTGAAGATTTGCAAAAGCCTTTCTCAGAGGTATTAATGCAGCTAATGCTTTTCTGGTCTGTTTCTTTAGTCAAGACCTCTTTTCTTTGTTTCAGTTTTACTTATCTAACTACCTTTTGGCAGTCTCCATTTGGTATTTCACATTTTAACATATTCAAAATTGAAAATGTCATTTTTCCTACAAATCCCTCAGTTTCTCTCCCTGTTTCTTGGCTTACGAGGTGAGATGATCTAAGAGTGTTATTGACCAAGAAAATAAGTTCAGCCTGTCAGCTGTTTGATACGGTTTCTTCCATAACACTGGTGGGGTAAACAGTGGTGATTTTGCTCTCCAGGGGATGTTTGTCAATGTCTGAAAACATTTTTTGGTTGTCACAACTGATAGGACTACAATTGCTATCTAGAGGGTTGTAGAGGCCAGGGATGCTACTAAACATCTTAAAACACACATGACAGCTTTTCAGTATAAAGAATTATCCAGTTGCAAATATCAGTAGTACTGAGGTTGAGAAATCCTGATCCATCATGATTCTTGTGTTGTTTAAACCCTGTCAATCTTTTTTTTTTTTTTTTAAAAGGGGGTGGTGGTGCTGTGGCATAGCAGGTAAAGCTGCCACCTGCAATGCCAGCATCCCATATGGGCACCAGTTTGAGTCCCGGCTGCTCTACTTCTGATCCAGCTCTCTGCTATGGCCTGGGTAGGCAGTAGAAGATGGCCCAAGTCCTTGGAGCCCTGCACCCATGTGGGAGACCTGGAGGAAGCTCTTGGGCTCCTAGCTTCAAATCAGTGCAGCTCCGGCTGTTGTGGCCAACTGGGGGGTCAACCGGCAGATGGAATACCTCTCTCTCTGTCTCTCTCTCTCTCTGCCTCTCCTTCTCTCTCTGTGTAACTCTGACTTTCAATAAATAAATAAATCTTTAAAAAAAAAATAAACCCTGTCTTAAGTAGACTACTTAACTCTCTTACTGGAGACTGCTTAGGAAAAGCTTACGTTATTTTTCCTACTTGCAGTGTTCTTTCTTAGTATTCTAAAACATTCCGGGAATCTCTTATGCAGATAGTAAGAGCCGTTCCAACACTGGAATTTTTGTAAGACTCGGAAGAAAAGGTTGTCCCATCTGCTCAGTTGCCTGAACTTCAATGGGTTTATGATTCTCTTAGTCTCTGTAGTGGAGGTTCTCTTAGCACACCGTTTTTCACTTCAGTTTTCAGGATACTCAGTTACTGCACATTGGTCATCTAGACTCCTTCTTTCACCTGGAGCTGCAGCTCTAGTAAGCAGAAACATTATCATGGTTTTAATATGAATGGAAATCTGCCCAGAGCAACTCATTGATTACCTCTCTGGTCATAGTAGCACTCTTGGTTTTACCCCATTTTCTTTAATCGTGTCATAGTATTAACAGCTTCCTCGTTGTTGATATATGTCTTTAAAAATTGTTGAGAAAATGTCTCTTTCTCTTGCACATCTCTGCCACTATTAGTAAATACCCAAATAATGCTCATCTCCCTTGCTCTGTTAGGTATGCCAGTATCTAGGAAAAGATTGTCTCCATTTTTTTCCCTAAGCCCTTTTTCAAGTTCTGGAAATGCCATATACTTGTTCAAAATTAACATTTTGTCACTTTTTTTCCTCTCTAAGGAAGTAGCCACTTGCTGTAGTTTATAAACAAAGTTGACACCTAATCCCCTACCGCTCATCTTTTAATCACAGAGTCAGATTTGTCCTTAAGAAGCTTCTTGCTCAGGAAAGGGTGTATACCAGGTAAAATGTATTGAGTAGTTACAGTTTTAGTAAAAGTCATTTAATCATGTACTTTTTATATACTTCTTAGGAATACCAGCTCAACCACATAGCGATAAACTTAATAAAAGAATTTGCCAACTTCTGGTCACCTAGCCAAGATCAAATCTAAGTAACTAAATTCTTAGTTATAAAAGTACCTGACTATAATTCATCCTGAACCTTTAATGATCAAACATATTTTGTTCTATTCACAGTGTTAAATGGATCTAGATCCTATAAAGACTCCTAAAAGGGCCCCAGGAAACTATCTTGATCTTTTTATTCTAATATTCCTTGCCTTTGTTTGAAAAAGTATTTAAAAGAGTTTATAATACTATATACAGTCATGTACCACATAATATTTTGGTCAATGCCAGATCACATATGTGATGGGGATCTTAAAAGATTTTGGTAGAACTGGAAAATCCCTATTGCTATCACATCATAGCTGTTGTAATGTTGTAACTGTACTAACGATGTAGCACAGTGTATTATTCACGTATTGGTGGTGATGCTGGTGTCATCAGACTTATTGTGCTGCTTCTCACATAAAAATATAGTGAATAGGGGCTGGCACTGTGGCATAGTGGGTAAATTGTGGTCTGCAATACCGACACTCTATATGAGCGCCAGTTTGAGTCCTGGCTGTTCCACTTCTGATGCAGTGCTCTGCTATGGCCTGGGAAAGAACTAGAGGATGGCCTAAGTGCTTGGGCCCCTGTACCCCAGTGAGAGACCTGGAAGAAGCTCCTGGCCCCTGGCTTCAGATAGGCCCAGCTCTAGCTGTTGTGGCCATTTGGGGAGTAAACCAGCAGATGGAAGACCTCTCTCTGCCTCTGCCTCTGCCTCCATGTAACTCTGCCTT